CACGCACACACACACACATGCACGAATCAGAATCGGAACTGGGGCTCTTCTCCACAAACGAGGCTCACCTCTGCTTGCTCTGGTGCAGGTGCCGAGGTGGCGGCGATGTCGCCTTTGGACTTGGCACGCTTCTCCCTCAGCAGGGCAAAGTGGTGGGCAAACAGCTCACCCTCGTGCACCTTGGCTGCGTATGCGCGGGCATACACCTCCGAGTGGCCCTTGCCCTTGAGCTCCTTGATGAGCTGCTCCTCGTCCACGCCTGACATGCCGCTGACGCTGTCTTGTTCTGCCTGTACCAATCAAACTGATGACGGAGGCACACACCATGTGAGAAGCACGTCGTACCACCCTGCAACCTTGGGAGAGAAGCCACGAGCCACACGTGTGGGACACCACATCGCCATGCACCAAACATGTCACCACACACACACACACACACACACACACACACCCATCTCCAAAAACCATGGAACCATGGAACCATCTCAGCACAGCACAGCTCACCCTGTCTGTATTGGGAACCACTTCGCAGTTGCGGAATTTATGAAAGCTATCTACGAATTTTCCCGACTGCAACGGTGTGTGTGTGTGAAGTTGTTGACTGTTTGGTTGGTGTGGACTGTTGTTGACTGGTGTTGACTGTTTGGTGTGTGGTGTGGACTGTTGTTTGTGTGGTCGTTGTCACTGGCTTGCTTTCCTATCCTGCTTGTGCTTCCCTGCTTCCCTGGCGTGCTGGCGTGCGTGTGGTGTCGTTTAGTGTTGGATGTGGGGCGTTATGTTCGTTCATAACACCGTTGCATGCTGCGATGCTTTGCTGACAGGAGGAAATGAGCCTGTACACGCGGCACGAGAGGCCGACGCTGGGACCGGCGTCTGCGGCGAAGAAGCGCCGCGAACTCACAGAGGACGAGCGCCACGAAATCAAGGAGGCGTTTGACCTCTTCGACACAGACAAGGATGGCTGCCTCGACTACCACGAGCTCAAGGTGTTCTGCCGTTGTTGATAATGTTGTTGGGATTCTGCTGCCACCAGTATTGACTGCTATGTTCACAGTGCTCACGATGGTTGTGCCACATGCCCCACGTACGCGTTCGTCTCATACCACACCACAACCTGCGTTTGGGTCGCCCTCTTTGCAACCCTCTGCAACCAAAAAACGCGCAACACTCGACGCCACTGCTGTTGGTGCTCACACGGCGTTTTGCTGCATTAACCAAGGTTGCAATGAGGGCCCTCGGGTTTGACGTGAAGAAGACAGAGGTGCAGAAGATTATGCGCGAGTACGACCGTGATGGCACCGGCCTCATCTCAGAACAAGATTTCAACGCTGTTGGTACGCTGTCAAGCACTGCTGTGTGTTGGAGTTGTTGCTGATCACTTTGCCAGTCGTGTAACTGCGCCCGGGTTCTGCTCACGACCGTGCCACCACTGTCATGTGTGCATGTGCGTGAATAGTTGGTGACCGCATCTTGGACCGCAACCCGATTGAAGAGGTGATGAAGGCGTTCAAGCTGTTTGATGAGGACCAAACGGGCAAGATCAGCATCGGCAACCTCAGAAGGGTTGCAAGGTGCGTTCGTGTTTGTGTGAGATAGAGAGTGAGTGAGTGTGTGTGTGTTTGTGTGTGAGTGTGTGTGTTGGTGTGTGTTTGTGTGAGTGAGTGTGTTTGTGTGTGTGTGTGTGTGAGTGAGTGTTTGTGTGTGTGTGTGTGTGTGTGTGTGTGTGTGTGTGTGAGTGTGTGTGTGTGCGAGTGAGTGTGGTGTGTATTTCCGCAAGAGAGTGGCTGCTCGTCTGTGTCGTTTGCTTATGCCACGAGATACATTCACCTCCCCAACTTTCCTCATACCGCGGCTGCGCGTTGCTTTGCGTCACAAACAGGGAATTGGGAGAGGACATTCCCGATGATGAGCTTAAGGCGATGATTGAGGAGTTTGACCAGGACAACGACGGAGAGAGTGAGGAAGACGTAGCTTGTGCGTGTGTGTGCATCTGTGTGTTGTATGTTGCCATGATGGTGCTGTCTTATGACCGTTTGATGTCTGTTTGAAGTGTTCTATGAATAACATGGTGTCGACATGGTGTTGACAATGCGCCATATCTGCCAATGCTTCCATCGCAGTCGCTCACCCCTCAACCCTGTCCTTGTCGTACGCACGCACACACACACACACACACATACACACATACACACACATATACACACATATACACACATACACTCATACACACACACACTCATACACACCAACCAGTCAACGAGGAAGAGTTTCTGTCGATTATGACTGCCGACTTCTGAACCCTGCCCCACCATGTCTCCGTGAACCAGTTGGCATAGACGGGTCTTATTCTTTCTCTTATGTGTGATGCGACACGTTGCGTTTTCTGTGTGCATGTGCGTAGCTACGTTTTTCGCGCCACTTTTTGCACCTTGCTTGTGATGTTCGTTCCTGGCCGGATGTACCTGCTGTTGTGTTCACTGCTGGTTTTGTTTCCGTGTTTGAGTGCGTATGTGCCATGCCATGGGCTGCCATCACTGCCGGTTGATTGCACTTACCATTTCGTTGCTTTCCTTGCTTCTTGCATCTTTGTCTTCGTCGAGAAAGCGTCTCAGCACAACACAACTACAATGATCAAGCAAGCAAGCAAAAGCAAAAGCAACCTTGGTCACAACTACGTCATCACACACACACACACACTCACTCACACACACTCTCTCTCTCTCGCCGGAGGCGTGTTGCTGTGTTGCTTCTAATGGTGTATTTGGATGGTGAAATGCGACTAATGTCAACGAAAGAGAAGGACAATGTGGTTCTAGCAAGACAAAGCAGCGAGGCAAACGGAAAGAGTCAATGAAATGAGGAAACAAAATGGCAACAGTATGCCGAAGTGACGGCGTCTGGGTACAGGCTATGCAAGTAGTCATGTGTGCCCTTCACAATCGCTCGACACACACACACACACACACACACACTCTCTCTCTCTCTCTCTCTCTCACAGAGAACTAAGGTCGCTACACCGTCAAGGTGCCACAAGGAAAGACAAAGAAAGAGAAGCCAGCTGTGAATGCCTGGGCACACATGGTGAGAAGCATGTGTGTGTGTGTGTGTGTGTGCAAGGATAAGTTATTAGACAGGAGCACGATATCAAACAAGACCACAAAACAAAGGGCAAAAAGGAGCACATCAACGCTCATGCTTCAACTCACACGCACAAACAAAGAGTGCTGCGCGCACGTGGTGGATATAGACACAAGAAGGCATGGGCTCCATTATCAATCAACACACACACACACGCAAAAGAAGAAAGAAAGAAGAAACACATAACGAGTATAGTCGACAGAGAAAGGACAGTGTACAAAACGTGGGAGGCCAAAACTGCCATTCAGACGAGGGCACATGACAGCAAACACACAAGTATATGCATGGTGCACGCACACGAGACCACTTTGAAAAGGCACGTGGCAGTCACGGCTGCATGCTGGAGTCAATGCGAGACGCATCCAGGGGCATCCAACGCACGGGCTGCGATGACACGGACAGATTTGGACCAACACCACCACCACCGCCAGCATCATCCATGCAGCCAGCATTGCGGCGCTGCGATGCCTCTGCCATCGTCGACGATGTTGCCGTGGGTTGCATCACGCGCGGGTGTTGGTGGCGGTGCTGGTCGGTGCCACGTGCACGAAATTCCAACGACGTGGCGTCTCCACGCCATGTTGGCTGTTCGCGCTGCCCTCGCTGGCGTGATTGCCACTGCCGGTCATACTGTCGCTGATGGTCACGGTGCTCTTGGCGCTGCCCTTGCTGCTTAAACGCTGCTTGTGGTGTCGTACCCAGCGGCGAGACAGGAATAGTCCATGTGGTTCCGCGGGGCTGATGGCGCTGCTGGTGTGGTTGGCGCTGACGATGGTGATCGTGTGGTGATGGCGGTGTGTGGGCTGCTTCCTCAACGACCGGTGGTGACAATGGGATCCACCACTGCACGACACCTGCTGTTATGAAAGTGCAGTCAGGGGTTGACACAGTGAGTGCAAAGCAAGGTGAGGAGCGCAGAGGAGAGGGGGCGCAGAGGTTTGCAGCAACGGCAGCAGTCATGGCAATGCAAACGGAACATGTCCCTGTCCAGGTATTCGACACATTGACAGGCAAGCAGACAGACAGACAGGCGAACAGACAGACAAGAAGCGGACCTTCATGTTTGTTGGCGTGCGCAGTGCGTGCATTCGGGGTGGTGTGTCCGCCTGTGATTGCCTCATCGTCGCCATCATCGCCGTCGTCATTCCCATCGCCCTCGGTACCCCCGCCGCTGCCAACCCCGCTTCCATGGTTGTGTTGTGGGCGACGAATTGTGTGGCGGTGGCTGCGGTCCACTGCGCGGTGCTCGTGGGCATGGCCTGCCTGCGCTCTGTCCACCTCCGTCACAGCATCACCCGTGGTGTCATTGTTGACGACAGCGCCACTGCGAGGGCGCCGGTTATCCGGGCGCGGCGACTGCTGGTCCTGGATGTCAGCTGTTGTCACGTGGTCAGGTAGGTGGTGAGGGCGGGAACGTGAGACGCGAAGCAGAACAACGTGCGTGCGTGTGTGTGCGTTTTGTATGCGTGTGTGCATTTTTGTGTGCGTGCGTGTGCGTGCGTGTGCGTGTGTGCACGTGTTGAATGTGCGAAAAAGCAACAAAGCACCTCAACAGCGAATACCACCGCCAGCACCACCACCATGAACATGATCACAAGCATCACTCCCACTCTTCAAACCACACAGCACATACGTTGCTCCAACGGCGGCGTCCGTGGCCGCACGACCCGCGCTGCTGTGGATTTGCTCAGTGCACTCGCGTGTGCATGATGCTGCGGTATCATTGCTGACGACGATGACGCCGCTGTGCGCGTGTGCGCCGTTTGCTCGTCGTGCAGGGAGCGAGACAGGCGAGCACGCCCGTGGCGGCGGTGGCGGCGGGGGTGGTTGCGGTCGTGGCGGTGGCGGTGGTGGCGGGGGCGACGCTGCAAGTTGCTGGACGAGTGCGTGTACGCATACGGGCCTTCACTGTGATACGGCTCCTGTTACCATTTGGGGGGAGAGGGGCATGGAATGAGCGGAGTCAAATGGAAGAAGACAGCGGGTGTTGGTGACGGTTGGTAAGATGTTTGTGTGTGCGTGTGTGTGTGCGTGTGTGTGTGTGTGTGTGTGTGTGTGTGTGCAAGTGAGTGAGTGAGTGTGAGTGTGCAAGTGCGTGTGTGTGAGTGAGTGAGTGTGTGCAAGTGCGTGTGAGTGTGTGCAAGTGTGAGTGAGTGAGTGAGCGAGTGTGTGTGAGTGAATGTGTGAGTGTGTGTGAGTGAATGTGTGCGTGTGTGTTGGGGACAGTAGTTGCGCATGATCCAACCTCTGTACTGATATCGCCGGGATGAGAGCTGCCCAGCGAGGGCGTGCGCTTGTAGTTGTCGTAAACGGTTCGATACGACCCGTCGGTGCTTGTGTCGTCCGCTGGTGGTGAGCAGGCGGGACATGCAAGTGAAGGCATTAGAATCATGGGGGGCAAAGGGCGAAATGCAAGCAGCACAAGCAAGCAACGCGAGGTTTCACGCATGCACGCACAGGCAGACACACAGACATACAGACGTGCAGACAGACACACGGACACACATACACAAAAGGTCTGCAATGTGCCCTCCCCTTCATCCTCGTCATACCGTAGCCCGAGGGTGCCTTGGAGGGGGAGCGATGGGTCGACTTTGACGGCGTAGACGCCGGGGAGAACACATGCGGCGCAGCATCCTGTGATCCAAGCGTACTGCTGGAGCTCAAGCGCCCTGCACGGACACCAGCAGTAGCGGTGGCGGTGGGGTTGGTGACAGTGGTGGTGGTGGCGTTGATGGTGCTGCCTTGCTCGTCAGCCGCAGGGGACACGAGGCGCGTCATCCTGATGTGTGCGTGTGTGAGTGTGTGAGTGAGTTTGAGTGTGTGAGTGAGTGTGTGTAAGTGTGAGTGGCGACAGACGCAGGAAGAGAGAGAGAGAGAGAGAGAGAGAGAGAGAGAGAGAGAGAGAGAGAGAGAGAGAGAGAGTGTGTGTGTGTGTGTGTGTGTGTGTGTGTGTGTGTGTGTGTGTGTGTGTGTGGCAGGGATATGCAGGCAGAAGAAACACAAACTGAAACAATCGGCATCAGCGACCAAATAGTGCACACACACACACGAACACACTGGTACACACTCTGTGGCACACACACATACGCGTACGCACACTTGCACAAATTCATTGTTGCCTCACCAGTCCCAGGTCGCAAGCGGGATGTTTGGCTTGAAGAATTCCTGCAGTGCAAAGGTCTGCTGATACTTGGGGTTGTTGGCAACACTGTCGATACGAGGCCAAAGCAAACGTGTGCGTGTGCGTGTCGATTGGGTGTGTGAGTGACGCATACACGTCTGCAAATGCGCAGCTTCACGTTGACGACGCAACTTGTAAGACAAGCACGCCTCGAGCCAAAGGTGGCCGCGTTCTCATTGTGTTGTCGGATTTACCATGACAGGAAGCGCTTGATGCCTTGCAGCTGTTGCTCGTGTTCCTGCAGCGACCTGTGGTGCCGCGTGTGCGTGTTTGGAGCAAGGGGAGAGTATCGCATGTGGTGTGAGGGGACGACGACAAGCACTCACGTGCGCATGTGTGTACAGTGCACATCAGGTGCAGACACTGGAGAGAGCAGTCTCCATAGCCATGGCTACGTAAAGCAGCAGCAACAAGAGCAAGAACAAGAACAGGCACAAGAACAAGAACAGGCACAAGAACAACAACAACAACAAGAACAACAACAAGAACAACAACAACAACAACAACAACAACAACAACAACAACAACAACAACAACAACAACAACAACAACAACAACAACAGCAAGAACAACAAGAACGGCGCGTACTCGAGGTTGCGGCGGGTGAGGGGCGGGGGAAACGGGGCGCCGGTGCGCAGTCGCTGTTGGAGCCAGCGGCAGTGTGAATACCTGCGATCAACCTGACAGCAGCGGTGCGGGAACGACGGGTGCCGGGTCTGGTTGGGCCAAACAGTGGCGGAGGAATGGGCAGGAGAACAAGGGGGGGGGGGAGCGGAGCGGGGCGGGGTGAGGTTGTGTTGGTGGCAGCGTTCATCCAGTAGGGACAAATATCGAAGAAACAAAGACAGCCAGACACACACAGACGCACAAAGACACACACACACACACACACACACACACACACACACACACACACACACACACACACACACACACACACACACACACACCGTAGGGTCGGCGGTGCATCTTGAGTGAGCGGTGCCGCATTGAGGACAACACGGTGCTGCCGCCAGACACGATGGTTCCGCCCTATGCCATCTTTTCCGGTTCGCCCGGCAGACAAACCGGCACCATGCCCGAAATCACAGATAGAATCCAGTCGGCCATTGCAACGTACGATGCGTGTTTGCGCAGTGTGTGTGTGTGTGTGTGCGTGTGTGCGTGTTTGCATGTAATTGCACACGTCAGTGTATCTGTGTGTGCGTGTTTGCATGTAATGGCACATGTATACCTCACTCCCTATCCACCTCCCCACCCCTCTCGTTGTCACATATGCAGGGCGTACTACGACAACTTTGTTGCGCAAGAGTGATGAAGCTTCAACTACGATGGGAGGAAGTGGAGATGGAGGGGGAAGGGAGAAGTGCTGAATCAACGACTTGTGTTTCGTTGTTGTTACACCAAGGCCGCGTCCAAGTAAACGTGGTTCCCGAACGCAGGCAAGGCAGACAGGCAAGGCAGACAGGCAAGGCAGACAGGCAAGGCAGTGAGGCAGAAAGACACATATGAGACAGACACACACACAGACACACAGGCAAGGCAGACAGACAGACAGACATACATGACACACACACACAGACACACACACACAGACACACACACAGACACACAGGCAAGGCAGACAGACAGACAGACAGACACACACACAGACAGACACACACACACTTATTTTAGCACAATGTGCTATTTAAAGGACAACAAGGCAGGCAGTCAAGATGGACAGTGCAAAGCGAGCAAAAGTGCAGCTGGAAGGGCACACAGAGGTGCCAGTGGCCCAGTACACTGTTGACGGCAAGGAGGAGCATGTCAAGTACGTCTTCAAAGATTCCCACCTTTGCCATGCAACCTATGTGTTTGTGTACAGCTCTGGACTGACGCCAACAGTGCAACATCGCTTCTTGTTGGCAGTAGTTGGTTGGAGTTGGTTGTTGTATGAGATTGCAGCTGTTGTTCACGTTTTGTGTCTCGCATGCCGGCGAGGGCGCTTGCCGAGCTCTCCTTGTCCGTGACTCACGCAACACGCCACGACTCGAACCCGCAGTGAGCTGAAGGCGGCCTCGCGGGCATTTCAGGTCCTCACCCGGTTGGACTTTGAGAAGCTGGAGCAGGCTCAGGACGACAGCCACAGCACAACACAGCCAACCAAACTGGCAGACGGGAATGGAAAAGAAGAGAAAAAGGCAGAAGAGACGGAGGAGACGGAGGAGGAGGCAAGCCACCTGGAGGAATACGAGCAAGAGGACAAATCAAACCTGCAACAGATGCGAGCTCTCGACACAGCAATCACGTAAGCGACGTGGCTCGGGAATGTTTGTGCTGGAGTGTGTGTGTGTGTGCGTGTGTGTGCGCGCGTGTGCGTGCGTGTGTGTGCGTGTGTGTGTGTGTGTGTGTGTGTGTGTGTGTGTGTGTGTGTGTGTGTGTTTTAGTGTGTGGGCAAATGGTTGTGCAGCACCGGTGTACCAGGATGGCTGAAGGAAGAAAGCCCATCGACACTCTCAGGTGCATCGAGCGTGCCGTATTCACCCTGCACACTTCCCATCATGCACACACACACACACATACAAAACAGGGCTGCGAACGATCAGATGCAGATGCTGATTGCTGTGCTGAACATGGCACAAAAGACACAGTACCTGGATATGGAGCGCGTTGCTGTGCCCAAGCTGGAATTTAGCCCTGCTGCTCGCCTGCAGTTGAAGCGTCAGCAGATGCACACGGCAGCAGAGACGCTCCGCGGCGCCATCACGCGCCTGCACGACACCATGGCCAGCGAAGTGCAACGGTTCTCCCAGCTCACACAGGCGGCTTCTGCGTTTCGCATTGTGCGGTCGGATGGCCGCCTGTTTGCAAGCGTTGCGCCGGGCTCGCGCATCGTTCGCGCCAGAAACCCAGACCACCAATGCAGCCTCTCCTTCTCACAACAGCAGCGCCAGCTGCTCGCAGACGTGCCCATATCTCTTCGCGCCAACACGGACATTCGCGTGTACGCGGGACACGTGTCACCAGATGCCCTCTCTCGCGTGCGCATCCAGCCACCGTCGTCCCACTGGCTCTCTGCACTGCAGGCTGCACAGCGCCACGCCCACCAGCTGCAGCTCTTCAACATGCTGCTGCGTGGTGCCGGCGATGCTGGCGATGGCATCACGTGCACCATGCCTGCGCGCAACGCCATTTCCCTCACCCTCGGGCCAGGCATCCAGGTTGTTGTCTGTCTCCATTTCAGCGACATTCCCGCCAAGACGCCAGCAGCAGCATCAATAGCAGCGACGAACGAAGCACCGTTGTCGTCGCCAGCACCAGCAGCACAGCCTCAGACGCGCGCCAGTGAAGGGATGGACACAGCCGAAGACAGCGGCGGTCATGCAAGCGGTCATGTTGATACACAGCAACAGGAGGTACCACAGGCGCATGTACAGGATCACGCGCAGGAACACAAGCAGCCACCACAGCAGGATGGAAACGAGACAACGTCACCACCAATAACAACATCGACAAACACAGCACCAACACCATCACTGGATGATGCGAACGCTCCCAAGCACCACCACGAGCTCACGCTGTTGCTGAAACAGCTTCACCAGTCGCTCGTGCGCCGTAAGTGGCTGCTCCCTTGTGGGGTGTGGCATGTGTGTGTGTGTGTGTGGCGTGTATGTGGCATATGTGTGTATGTGGCATGTGTGTGTATGTGTATGTGTATGTGTATGTGTATGTGTGTGTGCGAAAGAGCGCGAGACGGAGTGAATGTGCGATGTAGCAAGTATGTGAAAGAGAACAAGTGTAGGCCTGTGTGTGATACTCATCGCTCAGCCACCTCAACCACCATGCACCACGTACGGTCACACGTCAGGCCGCGGGGAGCGGGAGTTGCGGCGCGCGCTGCTGCTGTACAAGACGTCGTTGCCAGTGCACCATGACCGCCTTCCCTCGCTCGTCAAGTCCTTTGCCGCCATTGCAGACTGCAAACTCCGCCAACCCCGGATCACACAGCGGCTCAAGGGTTAGTGACGGTGAACAAAACACATGCTTTGTGTGCTTGTGTGCGTGTGTAGGCGTGTGCATGCGCGTGTGTTTAAGTGTGAGTCTTGCTGTATGCGCGTGCGTGAGAGAGAGAGAGTGTGTGTGTGTGTGTGTGATGCGCACCGTGATGCTCATGTATTGACGCGTGCGTCCGTTGGTGCAGAGGCTTGCGAGCGGTGGCAGCGCGTGTGCTGTTTCCGCATTGAGGACCTCGGGCCAGCGTTGCACAAGCACAAATGGAGCATCGTCGGCTCCATCGGAAGCGTCACCAGCTCACTCACGTTCGTCACACATTCACATTCACACACACACCGAATGAACGTTGCCGTGTTTTGGGAAGCTGTGTCCTCACAGCATATGCTTGCATGTAGCTGTTTGTATTCCTCACTCCACTCTCTTCAATGTGTTGAATGCGTGCGTGTGTGTGTGTGTGCTTGTGTGTGTGTGTGTGTGTGTGTGCTTGTGTGTGTGTGTGTGTGTTCAGGGTCGACTATGACCACAGCGAGAAGGGTGGAAAAGTTGTGATCAAGTCCACGCCCATTGGCCGGCCGACGCAGGACCGTCGAGCCCTCCGCGAACTCACGCGCAGCGACGCAGACCGCGTGGTTCGTGCGCCCCTCTTGTCAAGATGAGGGTGGTGGTGTTATGCTGTGCGGTCGCGTGTACGCATGTGGATGCACGCGAACACGCATGTGTGACTGTGACTGTGTGTGTGTGTGTGTGTGTGTGTCTGCACGTGATCGTCCTGAGGACTTGTCATCGGGCTCACCGCTGCTATGGTACACACCTCCTCCCTTTGTGTCGATAGATGTCGAGGTTTGTCCTCAACTGCGTTCTTAACTTCATCGAGTCAACAAATGCAGACACGGTGCGTGCCACATGCATCGGCCGTTATACGTGTGTATGTATGTCTGTATGTGTCGATTTCAAATTACCGTTTCTCCTCCTCGCTCTCCATGTTCGTCCATCTGTGCGTTTCAACCCGTCCTGCTGACACGGCAAATACTGCCGTATCTCGGTTGCACCGCCAATCTTTTGGCAGGTGTGTGCCCTTGCCAGCGACGAGCACTTTGAGCATGGAACCATTCATCTCCCCAGCAACAGGTGCTGTAACCCTGATGTTGTTTTCCTTTACACACACACACACACACACACACACACACACACACACACACACACACACACACACACACACACACATTCACTCTCTCTCTCTCCTCTTCTATCACTCCACATTTAGGTTTGATTATTAGGTTCAAAGCCGCTATCATTACCGTATTATTTTACCACCAGCATCACTCACCTCACTGCCACGCATGCGTGCGTGTACACTGTCTGTAACCCCATCCCACCTCTCTACTGTTCCCATGTGTCGCCAGGGTTGTGCGGTGCGAGCTGCTGCGACAGGCGCGCGATTTCCGGTTTGTGTGCACACACGGTGCTGGTCCCTTCCACCGGGCACCAGCACACCCACCGACCACCACTCTGAGCGCAGCTATCACTCAACAGCAGCAGCAGCAAGGTGAATACGATGCGCGCGTTGTCGCGCATGCCATCAGTCACGTGCTCGCACAGACAGCCCCAAGCAACAACGACAACAATCACACCCGCAACAGCACCAACAACACCGTCGACGCTGCCGCCGCCACGGCTGCAGCGCTCGGCTCTTCTGCTCTGACAACCACCACCCCACCGCCACCGTCATCAACCTGACAGGTACATGTGTGTGTGTGTGTGTGTGTGTTTGTTTGTTTGTTTGTTAACCATCCTCCCCCCCCCCCTCTCTTCCCGTGTCTCGCGTTCGCTGCGGCGTGTGATGGTGTGATGGCTCGCTGCTTGCTGGTTGGATTGATGATATCAACTACTTTGGGGGACAGGCCAAGGGGTTGGTTGCACACTGCACACCTGCAGTCGCATCCAACATATCAGTCACAAAGAACAAGAATAACAACACACGCAACGAGTCAAGGAAGCGCAACACGACACACATCAAGGAACACGGGTGGAGTATGATGTAAAGCACAACGGTGCGAGTGGGCGTAAACGTGTTTGTGAAACGTGTAGGTGAGAGAAGGGGGGGGGGGGAAACTGAGGTGTAAGACCATTAAGAACTGATTGAGTGAAACCCACAACAACATGTAGCTGGGCGCGCGCAATGCCAAACGCACGCCCGGAATAACAAAGTGACAATGGACATGCAAGGTGAGTGAGACACACACACGCATCATCAAGCACACGGTAAGGAAACCAACACACAGTCTGGAAGACACCAAACACTCGTTTCTAGGGAGAAAGGTCAACAAGCTAACATAAACCAACCAACTCTTTCTGAAAGTGCATACACAGGCAGGCAAATCAAACAAACACAAAACACTCAAACAAACAGACAAACACACACACACACACACACACACACACACACACACACACACACAAACACTCAACCACACGACTGCGCTACGCGGACGATTGCGGCGGGGCGGCGGCAGATGTGTCGGCGTGCAACTGCGACATGAGATCGCTCGACTCCGCGAGCAGCAGCTCCACTTCCAGCGCTGCCTTTGACGGCGAATCAAACGGAAGTGGTGGTGGCATCGACGTCGTGCCGCCCGTGCTGGTCACAGCGGTGGCGATGGACGCGGTCGTGGTCGTGGATATGGCTGTGGTTGTGGCGGTTTTGGCAGCCACATGTGCCGTCGCTGATGTTGTTGTTGGCATGTTGGGCATCGTGTCCAAGGGCAGAGGAAAGAGCGCGGCGCTGCTGTTGAAGTGCTCCTGTGGCCGCTGCTGGCCTTGCTGATGTTGCTGCTGATGTTGCTGCATGGGCGGCTGCTGGCGCTGGGCGTAGTGATGCTGCTGCTGGTGCTGGTGCTGCCCTTGCGGAGCGTACGTGACCGGCGGCTGTGGTGCCTGCACAGTGTTGAGTTGCACCTGTTGCAGCAGACTCAGCAGACCAGCCTGCATCGCATTCGCTGCACCGTGCTGTTGGTGTTGGTGCTGTTGCTGGTGTTGTTGCTGCTGTTGCTGGTGTTGCTGCTGCTGCTGCAGGGACTTGAGCTGCTGTTCTTGGCGGTGCAGCTGCGACAAAAGGCTCTGCAGTACTACTGGGCTCACGGGCGTGCTGCCCGGCGCATCACTTCCACCTGTGTTGACACCGCCACCACCATTGGCCATGTGCTGGCCACCATTGCTGCCGTCAGTACTGCCAGGTTGCCCTTGGCGCTGATGTGGCTGGTGATGTGGCTGGTGCTGGTGCTGCTGTGACTGATCGTTCTTGAACTTGACACCAAAGAAGGACGTTGGCCCACACAGCGGTGAGGGCAGCGCGTCGAAGCTTGTGTCCCGGCTGCTCTCCAGAGCACCCATGATCCCTGAGGGCGGGAGTGTCGACGGGTCCACCTGGGAGCGCGGTGCTGCGCTTGCCGTCGTGGCCGTGGGCGCAGACACTGTGCGGCCCAGCACGTGCGTGCCCGGCGCCTGTGGTGCTGTTGCCGTGTTGGCGGTGGCGGCGCTGGTGGCGGTGGTGGGGGGAGCATTGGTGATGTGGGGCACGGCGTGGGGAGCAGAGAAGGTGCGCTCTGGTTGCACACCCATGGACGCCACGCCGCTGCTGTTGAGGCCGCTGCTGTTGAGGCCGCTGCTGTTGAGGCTGGGCGTGTCCCCTGCGACGGTGCTGCTGTTCAGGGTGTTAGCGGTGGCCAGGCTGCTGGCGTCGCCAATGGAGGATGCGCGCATGGAGGAGAGCGCAGGCGACGGCGGTCCCACCACAGAGGAGGCCGGGGTGCCTGCATCAAGCCCCTGCTGCGTGCGCAGTGCCGCGTTCTCCTGGGCCAGGCGGGCGAGGTCGCTGGCCTGCGTCTGCGTCTTTGCCTCCAGCTGCCGGATGCGCTCCTCAAGGCGCTGGATGTACTGCTTCTTGCGGCGCCGGCACTCGCGCGCAGACTGCCGGCTCTTCTGCAGTTTCAGCTCCCGCTCCCGCTCAAGCTCCTCGGGCTTCATGGCCTGCATGATCTCCCGTCGCCTGCGCCCGCGCTTGCCTGCAAGCTTCGACTTGTACCCGGCAGACCCTTCCTGGTCGTCGTCGTTGCCAAATGCAGACGCCGTGTCAAAGTCAAAGTCCTCGTCCTGGTTCGGCTGGCTGTGACGGCGGTGCGCTTGCTGCTGATGGTGCTGCTGCTGCTGCTGCTGCTGCTGGTGGTGGTGGTCTTGGTGGAGCGAGTGCCGCCGGTGCTGCGTGCGCTTCTTCGTGCGCGGGTGGTCCGTGTCGCTGTCGTGGTCGCGGCCGTGCTGCTGTGGTTTGTCGCCACCCATGTCCGTCGACAGCGCTGCAGATGATGTCGGCGCAGAGGAGTGTTGCGAGCGCGGGTGGGCCGTGGCGGCGGCGGCAGCAGCTGTGCGCTTGCCTGCGGGGCTGACGCTGCGAGATGCGCTTGATCGCGGCACGGGGCTTTGGCGGGCCGAGTGCACGACGCGGCTTGGCGGCGCGGGGATGGTGTCCGTGTCGCGCAGGCGCGTGGGAGAGAGGCTTGTTCCGCGCAGGGCAGCACCCGTGGTCGGCGCGGCAGTCAGGCTCATGCGGCGGGCCTGGCGAGGGGACAGCATGCGCCGGCGCTCCACCATCACCTCGCCAACGGTCGCACGGCGATGAGGGGAGGGCGCGCGGAAGCTCTCGTCAATGTCGTGGCTGGCGTCGTGGCTGGCGTCGTAGTCTGTGTAGCTGCTTCGGCGGGAGGAGCGGTTGGAGGCCGCAAACTCCGTGTCGTCCGCGCCGCTCAGCCCGGGCATGTCGCCTGCTGGATCGAAGAACGTGAAGGGGTCATCATCGTCCATGATGCCGAGATCACCAGCGGGGATGGGTAGGTCATCGTCATCTGGCTGTGTGACGACAACGGACGGCGGCGGCGGGCCCGTGGTGGACGAGGCGTTGTGGGCATTCGTGGTGTTGGTGATGGCTGCAGTGTTGGCACCATGGCTGCTGCCGCTTCTTGTCGATCCGTTTTGGCTCTTGTCCGCCGTGTCATTGTTATTGTTATTGTTAGTGTTGGTGGTGGTGGTGTTGTTGTTGTTGATGTGATTGAGGGCTGTGCCGTCGTGCGCAGGCGCGTCATCGAAAGTAAACGCGTCTTCATGCTCTTGGATGGAGATGTTGGGAATCGGCAACCCAGACCACCTTCCTTGCTGGTGCTGGTGCTGTTGTTGTTGTTGGTGGTGGTGCATTGGAGGAAGGTCCGCCATGGCGAGCACGAAGCACTCCATTAACGGGGCGAGTAACGAGGATCAGATACCAACAAAGGGGAGGCAGCAATGTAGGCCTTGGAGTAGTGCTGATGAGTAGCAGGAAGAGGGGCTACGACAGCAAGGAACACTGGTGTGGGAGAGGTGGATGAGTTGAGAAGGAAGGTATTTCTGTGGGGGGTGGAGGGACAATAACAAGAACGCACGCCGGAAGAGTGGAGGAGAACGACGAACAGTAGCGTGAGTGACAGACGCAAACACAGGGCCAATCGTTAGCGAAGACCTCTCACAATTTCTGTGTCTTGTTCTGACTCTCTTAACTCCCTGCCTCACTCACACTCGCACAACAGAGCAACAGAGCAACACCGAGGCGCGAGTTGCACACAAAACGCAACAACTGCTGCCTCTGCACGGACGAGTGAGCGAGGCAAAACTCAACAGAAACCAAACAAAACACACAAGAGGAACAAGCACCAGCACGCAGACGCACCCAAGACAACACGCACAATCGGTCGATCGAAAACCAAAACAACACACCAAACACAAAAGCACACGCCAATGCGACTTTGTGGTTTGTAAATCCAACACACGCACACAGAGCCAAACCAACCAAAATGGGTGCCGTCTGCACACACTCGAGGAGAGCAGCAGCCGCGCGCAGGGAACGAAAGGAAGGGACGCGAGTGGCACCGAAGGGTGGGTCACGTCAACGCCAACGCCACAGAGCACCCTTTTATTGTGAGATGTGCGTGGTTGTGCGAGCACACCAAACTACCAAAGGCCACGCTGTCTTGCTTGCTTCTTGTGCTTGGCTTGCTTGTGTGGTAAGTCGTGACGTACGTCTTTATGTCCTTAAATGCACATCGAATCCAAAGTCCTGCAGTTAAATTTTTTGTATTCTTCTGGTCGATTCGAGGGGATTGTAAGAGAGAGAGGCCGCAAAACCAAAAAAACGCTCACTCACACTGGCTGGTCGGTCGCCTCTGTCTGGTTGTGCAAGCAAAGCAACAAGGCAGGCAAGCAAGCAGGCGGCGGAGACCTGAACCAAACCAACCAACCAACCAACCAACTTCACCCTAACAGCGAGCACAGCAGACACAGGAGGCACCCACAGGAGGCACCCACAGCACTGCACGGCTTGCCTGCGAGATGATGAACGGCAGCGGCAGTGTTGTCGGTGGCAGTGGTGGCGGCGATGGGGGCAACGCGGAGATTGAAGCTCAGCTGATGGGGTTGGAAAGCGTGGTGGAAGAGTTGGCGTACCCGCAAATCACGCCAGAGCGGAAGGAGCTGATTGAGCGCGAGCTGCAGAACTTCAAGGACCAGCCGCACGCATGGTACCTCGCCTCCGCTTTCATGAGCATGTCCACCAACAGCATGGTGCTGTTCTACTCGGCCACGGTGCTGGAGCACACGGTCCACAACACCTGGTCCCAGCTCGGCGCCGACGAGCGCGACCAAGTCAAGGCGTTCCTGGTGGACTTTCTCGAATCAAACTTCACCGACCTCAAGCACTTTGTGCGCAACAAGGCGTTGCAGGTCTTCATTGCCATCGGCCAAGCCGAGTGGCGCGACTACTTCCCGCGCTTCCTCGACATCATCAAGGAGTGGTGCATGCGTCCCGACACGTTGGCATTGGGGCTCACCGCCGTCAAGATGCTCTCCGAGGAGTGCTCCCTCAGTCCGGCAACCCGCCTCTCCGATTCCGTTTTGCACAGGGTACGCCGTCGTGTGTGTCGTGTATACGTTGTGTGTGTGTGTGTGTGTGTGTGTGTGTGTGTGCTGTGTGTCGTGTGTGTGTGTGTGTTGCATGAGTGTGTGCTTGCTGTATGAGTGTGCGCCTGTTGTGCGTTGTGTTGTTGGCTTGTTAAAGCGCATGGTGTGGGCGATGGCTGTCTTTTCTGCACAAGGGTTCGCTTGTATTTGTTGGTGGGTGTGAAGGCTTCAGTCAGAGTTAAGCTGAGATCTGCATCGCGATGCATGCTTACTTGCACGGCGTGTCATCCACGCAGAAAGAAGGGGGAGGAGGAGGGTAGTAGATGCAAACGGCCGCCTCATGCACGATCTCACACAAACACATTCTCACATGAATCACACATTTCCACATGTGTTGTACAGATGCCGGAGTTCTTGGACATTGTGCTGTCTGTACTCAAGGCCATCTTACATGAGGCGCGCACGTTTGGCGACATTGGCGTGCTCTCTGGCAAGAAGGCAGGCCAGAGCAGCCCCGTCCACGCCCCGCGCAGCTCGCCGGCCGACGACATGCTCGGATCGGCACTGCAGCCACAGGTGTGTGTGCGCGTGTCTGTGTGAGTGAGTGAGTGCGTGTATGTGTGCATGTATGTATGTGTGTGAGGATGTGAGTGTGTGTGAGAGAGTGAGAGAGAGTATGTGAGTAAGTGAGTGTGAGGGATGGAACACGTACATGGCAGATACCCAAGCGTGTACATGTCGGGCTACGTAATGGTGTGATCGCAGGGTGTGATGATTGCGTTTGTTGCGTTTCTATACGAACGAGATGCTTGACACATCTCTGATTTCAGGTCACATCATGCCTCACGCATGTCTACTTCACGTGTGCATATGTGCGTGCATGTACATGGCATGGCTATCTGTCCTTTCAGTCTGGAAGCGGCAATCTCCACTTCAACACGCGCAACCTGGAGCACACCGTCATTGCCCTCGAAGCCATTGGTCACTTTTTCTCCTGGTGCCCACTCTCAAAGTAAGGCGCACACGGTTATGTGTGTGAGTGTGTGTGTGTGTGTGTGTGTGTGTGTGTGTGGTGTGTGTGTGTGTGTGTGTGTGTGTGTGTGTGTGTGTCTATTTGCTCTTCGGCCCTGGAAATCTGGGAGCTAGCAAGCACTGAACGCATCTTGCACCTCACCCACATGTGATTTTGTGTGTGTGATTGCACACTTTGCTGTGGCTGTCAGATTGTTGACGGAGGAAGTGGTGATGGTGCTGCGAGACTTTACGTTCATCCATCAGCCCGACTCCCGCATTGGATGCAAAGCACTCAGGTATTTGTGTATGTGCACGTGTACGTTTGTGTGTGTGTGTGTGTGTGTGTTTGTGTCTGTCTGTCTCTCTCTCTCTCTTTCTGTCTCTCTCTCTCTCTGTCTCTCTCTCTGTCTGTCTGTCTCTCTCTCCCTCTCCCTCTCTCTCTCTCTCTCTCTCTCTCTCTCTCTGTCTCTCTCTCTCTCTCTGTCTCTCTCTCTCTGTCTCTCTCTCTCTCTCTCTCTCTCTCTCTCTCTCTCTCTCTCTCTCTCCAAGCACGTGTGAGTGAACATGCATGCATTGCCGCATACGCTGCATCCGTTGTGCCAATGATGTCCTTTGCTCTCATGCACAATCTCGCCTTGCATTGCCTTGTTTTGCTGTTTGTGTTGCGTTGGTGATTGTGTTGCAGATGTTTCAATGAGATCCACGCACAGCGGTTCATCCCGCCCTCCTTTGGGGGATACATTCAGCTCGTACGTCCCCCACCACGGACAGGCCGCCACACACACACACACACACACACACACACACACACACACACACACACACACACACACACACAACCACACACACAACCACAAAGCACACACACAACCACAAAGCACACAACAAAGCACACACACACACACAACCACAAAGCACACACACACACAACAAAGCACACACACACAACCACAAAGCACACACGCACACGCACACGCACGCGCACAAAGCACACGTGCCCTTCTGTAAGACATCCTACTTAGCTTGCACGCACCTGTGGTTGTGGTCTGTGCACATTTCCCTTCAGGTGTTTGAGCTGACACTACAGCTGCTGAACGAAGCGCTGCAGGGCATGGAAACAAACGCAAGCTTCAACCAGTCTTTGGACGAGCAGTGAGTCGTGCGTGCTGATGGGTGGCAGATGCACACGTGCATGTGTGGACATGTGCACGTCTGTGCGTGTGTGGGAGGGGGACGTGTGCGCGCGTGTGTGTGGACATGTGCGTGTTCACTTGCGTATGCGCGTGTGTTGTAACAGTTGCACCTGTTCAGCCGTGCTTACGCTGGCTCGTCGTCTCATTTCACGTGCGCGTTCGTTGGCAGGTATCTGGATGCGTTGGTGGAATATTTGCGTCTGTTTGTCATCAACTACCTTCCACGCCTTGCAGCTGACCCAAACATCAGCCTCGCAAGTCAGTCCACACACACACACACACACACACACACACACACACACACACACACACACACACACACACACACATACATACACACGCAAGCACACACAAGCACACACACACACAAGCACACACACATGTGCTGGGTGTTCACGTGGCAGCATGGCGAGGAAGGAGGGAGGAACAAGGAAGCCAGGGTCGTTGTTGCTCGTGTCCTTATCAGCGTTGGTGGAGTTTAGCCATTCATGCGTGCACTCACTGCAACTTTCATGCCCTTGTTCATCGCATCGCAACGTTCATACTTGAAACGGCATGGTCAGGTGCTGTGTTCAACATCATGCGTCTTGCTGATCAGCTTCCCGCGCACCTCTTCCTCGAAGCCATGGACGTACGTGCTGCAACTGCCACCTGCACCATATTCAGCTATTGCGCAGTTGTGTGCACACGCAGGCACAAGGATAGACAGGCGGACAGAAACGCGAGCACACACACACACACACAATACACGCACACATTCATGTGCACTCGAAAGAGCACCCATGCACGGATGCAATGCATCACACCTCACGTGCTCATGCCGCGTGCGTGCGTGTGTGTGCGTGCGTGCAGGTGTTGAACGAACTCATTGATCTGCTGCTGGAGGACGCGAGCAACACACTGGCTGGTTTGAGAGAAAGGTCCGTGTGCACAATGCGGTGATCTTCCGTTGTTGTTGTTGTTGTTGTTGTTGTTGTTGTTGTTGTTGTTGTTGTTGTTGTTGTTGTTGTTGTTGTTATTGTTATTGTTGTTGTTGTTGTTGTTGTTGTTGTTGTTGTTGTTGTTGTTGTTGTTGTTATTGTTGTTGTTGTATTCGCACGAGCTTACACAGTGCCATCTCACTCCAACACCACACATGCACACGCATACATACACACGCACACACAACACCATTACGACCACAGCTGTCGCGAGGTGCTGGTTCAGATTGCAGAGCGCATCACAGACAAGATGCAGCTGACCAAGACGGAGATGATGACTGAGCTCGACTACAGGCAGGAGAAGGACGCGGAGCCTAGCGAGTACGACCAGTGTATCGACAAATGCGCTCATTTTGTGAGCGGCGCAACGCGGCTGTACCAGCAGGATGTGCTGAGCATCTTGGGGAAGCAGTTTATGGACAAGCTTGGCGTCATCTTCACAGGCTGCTCCAAGACTACCACCACCCCAGAGGTGCTGGTTGTTCTTGCTTGTTTGGCTGTGTTTTGCTTGTTTGGCTGTGTTTTGGTTGTCGGTTTGTCTGTGTGTGCGTGCGTGCGTGCGTGCGTGCGTCAACGTATCTGCTAGTTCACCATGCCTCTTGAAACTCACGTCTTCATCCATCACCACCCCCATCACCATCACAGGGCCCTCGCATTGAGTTTGCGGTGGAGGAGGACATGGTGTACTTCCACTACGCCTGCCGCGATCTTTCCGCCATGTGCAAGATGCTCGCAATGTTCGTGTGAACCCCTCTCAACACGTGCATGCTCTCATCATGCTGTGTCATCTGTCGTGTCTCTGGTGCTTGATATTTTATGGTTGTTTGCGCACGCTTCGAGAAATGGTGTGTGAGGTTGGCCGTCCTGCAGGGATCATCTACTCACTAACGTCATCCTATCTCTGTGTGTGTGTGTGTGTGTGTGTGTGTGTGTGTGTGTGTGTGTGTGTGTGTGTGTGGGTGGGTGCGTTCGCTCCGTGCCCCCTCTTTGTTTCGTGGATGTCGCCTTCATCAGGGTTGCTGACGTGTTTGCCGCGCAGTTTGAAAACTACGCGGCCATGGGCAAGGAGATGCTCGACATGTCGCTCAACGTCCTCTTCAGCATGTGAGCACACGACACACGGCATCGGTGGTGGTGGTGGTGGCGGTGGTGGGAAATGAAGGGATCCACAGACAGCGTTGTAATCGAAGGCGAGGGGCTGTGGGATCGTGCTGCGCGTTTGTTCCACAAGTTGCCATCATCATTACGCACACGCACGCACACGCACACACACACACACACACACTTTCGACTCAACGCATCTGCCACTCACCTCCTCATAATCCCCTCTTCCCTTATGCGCGCGCGCGTGTGTGTGTGTGTGTGTGTCTGTCGTTGTGTCTTTGGTCCACCATGCCAGCTTGTCTGCCGGTCTGCACAACGCGCATGACTTTATTGCAGACCCCCTCTGTGTGCAGGTGCTGTTTCTGTCCGTGCTCATTCCTGTATGATTGTGTGTGATGCGAGGTTCATGTTCTGGTGTGTACAGCACACAATCTTACCCTCTGCATTGTACACACATACGCACACACCACATGCTGCAGCTGCTGGTCTCTGTTGAGGCACTGTGCCCGTGGCTGCGCGAGTGCACGAAAGCAGCAATTGCTGGGACCGGAATCAACATCGAAGTCCTCAACGTGAGCAGAACAATTACACCAGCGAAACCCACCCTGGTGGTGATGCCGGCGGTGATGGTGTTTTGGGTGCACACAACCCCCCCCCCTTCTCCCTTTCTGCCTTGACCTGCCGTGTATGCAGTGCCACTCACCAACATGCGCAAACACAACTGCTGCGTGCTCCAGGGCATTGTGTCGCAGATTCTGAGTGCAATAGGGCAGACGATGGAGACGGCTGTTGCTCCAACGCTGCGCACTGCCGCATGCAGCCTCTTTGCCGTCCTCACATCAACCATCAAGACGCCAATCGTGCGACAGGCCGATGAGTGCGTTGCGACAGAAGCGGCGAAGGATGGGAGACGGCGGGAACTCTAGTTGTGCACACGTGCATGGTTTTGCTTGCGTTCCAGTTTTGTGTGTGTGTGCGTGTGGTGCGTGAGTGTGTGTGTGTGTGCGTGAGTGTGAGTGTGCGTGTGTGTGTGTGTGTGAGTGTGTGTGTGAGTGTGTTGTTGGCATTGGTTTGTGGTGCTTCACCCACAGCGATGCGCATTCTGCATGCCCTCATTCTCCTTCCTCACCCAACCATGTGCACATGTGTGCTGCGCCTCAGGTACGCGCCGCTCGTGAGCATGCTGCTTGAGAACATGGCTCCGCTCGACTCTGAAACGCAAATCCTCATCGTCTCCGGCGTGTCCTCCGCCCTCGTCGTGCAATGGGACGGCGCAAGCGCACAGGAGCAGGTGGGGCAATGGTGGCGGTGCGGATGGGTGATGTTTGAGTGTGCCATACGTGTGCATGTGTGTGTGTGTGTGTTGGGTGTGTGTGTGTGTTGTGTTGGGTGTAGTGTAGAACGCACGCAGTGCACCGTTGCGTCTTGGAGTACCACCATCACCGGGGGGAGTGCTTCCATAATGAACGGCCTCTCTTGCCTTCATCGTCGATTTTGCATTGAACTTGCGTGCAGTTGTGGGATGAGCGTACCTCCCAGCTGAAGGAGTTGGTGACATACGCAAGCGGTCCTCTGCAGGAATCACTCGCCGGCGGTGCAGGTGAGGGCACGCGCTTGCTGCTGTTCCTCAAGGCGACACGTATCGCCGTGCCAAAACGTTTTGACGTCGCCACATCATTCCACCCGATGTTCACACTCCACAATACCATCCGTTCACCAACACTCGATGCCACACCACTTTCTTCTGTCGTCGATGTTTGTCTTGCCATACACTCTTCTCCTTCTCCATCCCCACCTCAAACACAACGCCCGTCCTCCCCTTGCCACCATACCCTCCGCCTCCCCCTACCCCTCGACCAGCCCCCGGCAACTTTGTGCAGGCGTGCTCGATCATGACGGGCATTTGCCGGTCGTTCCGCTCGGAGCGCACGCCGGCGATGAAGCAGTCCCTGCCAGAGGTGCAGAAGGCCATCGAGGCCGCCATGGAGAACCTCCTTTCCTTCACAGCCCTCGGTACAGTGTTGCGTGGCGGCGGTGGGGGATCTTGGGTGATGATGATGGGTGGTGGTCTCGGTGTATGTGTGTACATGAGTAGATGTTCGTGTTCGTGTCAGGTGCATGGGTAATGGTGACAATGGTGACAATACGACCCCCCCCTCCCCCTTTTCTTTTCTCAGCTCCACTTCGTCCGTGATTTTTCCCATGCGCCGCATCAGCACAGCACTCACCATCCACGCTGCCTTTCTTTGTCGTGCCACTGCAGACAAGGAGGAGTCTCTTGAAGCGGCACGCGGGTTTGTTGGTCTGGTCAAGGAGATGATAACCGCCGTGGGATCATCGCTCCCGCCCCGCTGGGTGCAGCAGCTCATCTCAAACATGTCGTTGTACGTTACAACACGAGGCTTGATCGCTCATTTGTCATAACCCCTACCCACGTGCATACGAGAGCCATGTTCTCACGCACACCACACGCACACAAGTAACTCGAGCAAATCGAGCAACTTGCACTTCTCACACCTGTTTTGCGTGCGTGTGTGTATGTGTGTGTAACAGCCGATCTTTGTCTTGCTGCACGTCGCGGCCGTTGCTGGAGGAACTACTTGCAGAGTACGAGAATCACGCATGCCTGTGCGATGGTGGCCTTTGAGTATTTGGGTGTTGTCTGCATGCTGCTGCTGCCATGACATGCATGGTTCATCTAGCGGTGTTGTTGCGTTGCGTACCCCCCCCCCCCCAAACGCACACACCACATGCACATACACACAAAACACACATACACGCACGCACACACACACACATGCACATGCACATGCACAAAACACACACACATACACAAACACACACGCACACACCCTCATACACATACACAAAGCACCTATACACACACACACACACAAAACACACCACACAAAACACGCGTGCATCCGTCTCATCCTTCGTTTGCTCGGCAGATTTCTGGACTGCATTGCGCACAGCATTCGCTTCTACGAGGACCGACTTGGCGAGACGCTGCACCACATCACGCAGCTCATCTCCACCCTCGCGCCGGCCATCCTGTCCATGTCCATTTCTCTCCAGCGCTCCTTTGCCGACACCGTCGCTGCCCTTCTCACAACCCGGTGAGCGTGCCTGCAAGCAAACATGCAAGGAACACCTGGAGCGTGCATGCATGCATATGGGCTGTTTCGTTGGGCATTTGCTTGCTGTTGCTGTGCCTTGTTGGGGTGTTGGCGTCGTTGCCGCCATTTTTGTGCCATTTTGGTACATCTGTCTGACGTCTCTCGGCCCTTTGCGCTTTTGTTCTTCCGTCTCATCCTTCCCTGTTTTCTCCTCAGCGCTATTCGCAAGCTGGAGGAACACATCCCGGACTTGGCCAAGGTGCGACGAGGAAACCAACCTCTCACACATGTTCCTGCACAAAATGGCTGTTTCACTGCTTGCAACCATGTACCTCACTCACTTTACCTCACGCGTGTCCTCTTGTTACCTGCACCATCCCCACTCATTTCCTCCGCCATCCCCCACCATTCCTGCGACCGCGACGACGACGACCACCACCACCATCTTGATCAACAGTCACTCGCAGCGTGCGGGTGCACGGGAGATCTTGTGCTTCTGGACACGATGCTCGATGCTGTTGAACTGCTTGTCAGGCAGCAGTCTGAAGTGGTGCGTTGCCCTGTTTGCTGTCGCTTGAAGAGTGCGTGGTGTGTGTACTTGTATGTGTGTACTTGCATGATGACTGGGTTGCTTTGGGTGTCGTTTGCGGATGCTCACCCTGTTCCTGATTGCTTGCTGCTTGTGTGCGTGTGTGTGTGTGTGCTTGTGTGTGTGTGTGCTTGTGTGTGTGTGTGTGTGTGTGTGTGTGTGTGTGCGTGCGTGCGTGCGTGCGTCTTCTTCTTGTGTGTGTCTTCTTCTTGCGTGTGTGCTTTTTGCATGTGCATGTTTTTCTGTCCGTGTCTCCATTGACCCCCTCCTCCCCCCCCCCATCTGTCTTGTGGCTTGTCCCTTTGCTCCACTCGCTATCCACAGCTGCTGCCGGAGGTTGTTCCGTTCTTCGTTGAATCGCTGACAAAGATGCAGGTTCGTTCGTGCCGGTGATGGTTGAATGGACATGAATGGTGACTTGCCCGGGACACTTCCTGTTCCGTGTGCTGGTCTTGTGGCAACCCCAATGCTGTCATCGCTGCTCAACACCGCACCATACACCTCGCCTTCCCTAATTTCCACATGGCATGGCTTTTGCTTTGCTGTGCAGGATCAGCAAACACGTGCGCAGCGCATCACGGCAGCGCTGTCGCAGCTGACATGAGATGAGCCACGTGCGTTCTTGTCATTTCGTCTCCGTTGCAGTGCAAACCATTGCTGTATCCTCCTTTTGTCCCTTCCTTGCACTGTCTTGCGTGCGCCTGTCTTTCTCTTCTTTCCTCTCCTGCGGCTCTCTCCTCTCCTCTCTTTCTTCCTTGACTGCCCGCCTTTGGGTCGTCTTCATTCGGAGTAGTTTATCACACGCTTGCTTGCTTGGCGTATGTGTGTGTGTGTTGTGTGTGAGGTGTGTGTGAGGTGTGTGTGTGTGTGGAGGGATGTGGGACGTTGATTAGGGGTTGATGGCTGTCCCAATTGGTGATGGGATGTGGCTTGTCTATTCATCTACACAGCATAACAGAGGATGGACATGGACAAACCACAAACACACAAAACAACACAACGTCACAGCCACACGTTACGATCACAAGCCGCACACACAACAAAACAGCAGCAACACCCCGCCAGCAACCCAACGTCGCGTATGTACATCCGCACCAGATGACTATGCGTCACACACACACACACATTCAAAAATAAAGACAAAAGCAAACAAAACACAACAATCAGACAACCACACAACCAAACACACACACACACACACACACACACACACACACACACACACACACACACACACACACAGAGCGCCATCAGAGGAGCTTAGTGATGGTTCCTATTGCCTTTGTGCGGCCCTCGCGGAACACAATCTTCTCGCCAACCTTGATGTACTCAGGGTGGCGGATGAAGCGGAACGACGCCACGGCCTTGTCGCCTGTACGGATGTGCTCCTTGTCCATCTTCACAATCGTTGCCGTCTGCCGGATGCTTCCACAGTGCACCATGGCCTGAAGCAGCAGGAGCAGGAGGAAGGAGGGGGAGAGGAGGATGATATGAGACACACACACACAGAGGATGTGCGTGCGTGTGTGCGTGCGTGTGTGCGTGTGCGTGCGTGCGTGTGCGCGCGAGCATGTTTGTTGCTTGTTGCTGGTTGTCGTCACAGGGAGCAGGATTGTATGTGAGTTGTGGCGCCTTGACGTGCAACCGCACATCATGTTTTGTATTCGTCAGAGAGACAGCAACAGTCGCCACGGCACCTGGTATCGCGCTGTGATGGTCGTGGGGTGGTGCAGGACGAGGATCTCGCCCTCAAACTCCCACGTCGCCGTTGCCTCTGCACAGATTCAGCAAAAACAAGGGTGCACACACGCATGAAGGTGAGAGCAGAACAAAGGGAAGACAACGAGCAAAGTCGAGGCACAGGGCCCACACACAAAGACAGACGCAGATACACACACACAGACACACACACAGACACACGCGCACGCGCACGCACACACACACATGGACACGCACATTCACGTATCAAACGCATGCGACTGCCCACCTGCATCCTTTCCAAGAAGCATCATTCCCTTCCGTATCGCACTGCGCTTGACTTTCTTGAGAGCAAACGAGCTGGTCTGCCCTGCCCGCACCTCCTGTCCACGCAACAGCAGCAGCAGCAGCAGCAGCAGTGAGCAACACCAAATGGAAACACCCGCACCACAAAACACACACACACACATATCAAAACAAAAACGCAACTTCTTGCGCAGACAGAATTGCAATTCGCGTCGCACATCATCCTCCAGCATCCTCCACCACATCACACATACGGTGGTTGGCATGCGCCTGCGATGAATGCCCTTGATCACCGTCGCCTGGTAGTGTCCGAGCGCATCTGGGCCCAGCATGAGCGTGTCGTTGAGGCGGATGACGCCCTGGCGCAGGTACCCAGACACGACCGTGCCCACACCCGGCACGGAGAAGGTGTCATCAATCTGGAACTCTGCGGGCTTGTCGTCGGCGTCGAGCACGGGGGGCTTGAGGAGGTTGATGAACGCCTTGAGCAGGTCAAGGTTTTCCCCAGTCACGTTCGACACCTGGAAGATGGGGCATATCCTGTGGTGTTGGTTGGTGTTGGTTAGTGTTGGTTGGTGTTGGTGTTGGAGGTGAGCAGACGGACAAGGGTTATTGGCAAATCCAGCATAGATAATTACACACACACACGCACACGCACACGCACACGCATAGACACAAACACACAGACACAGACATCCAGACACAGACACCCAGACACCCAGGCAAACCAACAAACAACACAAACACAAACACAGACATTTGCGCACCTGGTGGTGACAAAGTTTGTGGCCGCAACAACGACATCGTCCATGTTGTTGATGAGCATTGGGATCTTCTTGCAGCCGGCGGACTTGAGGATCTTCTGCAGGAGCTTCATCGTCGCTTCGAGCACGTTGGGCGGGCACATGTCGATCTTGGTTACCACGACATACAACGGCACGTGCAGCGCAAGCGACAGACCAAGGTGCTCTGGCAGGATGGGAATGACCAAGGACAACAGCGAGGGGTGTTTGGTGATGGTTAGTTGATGGGGTCAGAGTATTGATGGGGAAGGGGGAGAAGCTTGCTGACAGCAATGCAATCGGAGATGGAATACGACAGCCCTCTCACTCTCACACAACCACACACGCGCGCACTCACACACTCTCTCACTCACGCATTCAGTCACACTATGATGCGAGCTACCTTTTGTCATGCCAACGATGCCCGCATTTGAGCCAATCATGAGCATGGTGTAGTGTGGGGCGTGGCCCGTGAGCCCAAACACCGTCGTCTTCAGGTAGCGCTCGTGTCCAGCAAGGTCAATGAACGTCGTCACCTGCACGGGGCGAGCAGAGAGAGAGAGGGGGGCATGCGGGACGGTAGATGAGGCGAGCCGGAATGAGATGAGAACTGCAAATGTGCCCATTGGTACAAAGACAGACAGACAGACACACACACAGAGAGAGAGAGAGAGAGAGACAGACAGACAGACAGACAGAGAGACAGACACACACCGCGCGAGCGCACCTTTGAAGCCTCTGTGCAGATTTGCACCCAGTCGAGGCGGCCGTCGTGTCCCGGCTTGTTAACAATTGCGCCTTTGGAGTCGTAGCCGAGGATGTTGTACGAGACGCTGGACGTGCGCCCGCTCTCCATCTCGTGCTGGTGCCGGAACAGCTTCTGGCGGGAAAGGCCACGCCCGTTGTCGAGCACGTTGTGCGTCAGCACACCAAGTAGGGTACTGGTGTGTTGGTTGTTGTTGTTGTTGTTGTTGTTAAGTTGTTGTTGTTGTTGTTGTTGTTGTTGTTGTTGTTGGGTGGTGAGTGAGTGGTGCAAGAATGAGTGGTGGAGGGCGTCATGGCAGCGTTAACGTATACACAGACAGACAGGCAGACACACGCACAGACACACAGACATACCTCTTGCCAGCGTCGACGTTGCCGACGACAGCGACGCGGACCTCAGAGAACTGATCAGGTGCACACCTGCACAGCCACGGTAGGAACACAACAGCGATGAGCACGCGGGCACATGCAGGAAGGCACAAAGCAACGAAAATAGCCACGGATAGGCAGATGGGCAGGAAGAGAAACGCACACAGACACACAGACATACACATATACGCGCACACACAGACACACACAGACACGCACAGACACACACAGACACGCACAGACACACAGACACAGACACACACACACACACACACCTGCGGCGCACGAGGTACTCTGCGACTTTGCCGGCCTCTTCGTCGTGCGTGCGGAGGAGAGAGACGTCCGCGTCGCAGCTGTTGCTCAGCTCCTCAAGCGTCTTGACAGAGGCAGCAAGGTCCTCCTCAGAGAGGCCAGAGGGCTCGCCATCTACAACAGCGATACGGGAAGTGGCGCAGGATGTGGGGGATGAGCACGCTCTCCCTCACTGCCACGGCAGCAACGCCCATTGCACATCAACACATGGGCACAAACACACACACACACATGCAGACATACGCAGACACACGCAGACACACGCAGACACGCAGATACGCACACACATGCAGACACACGCAGACACACACACACACTTACCGCCGGTGCCGATGGTGTAGATGCAGTCGCCCTCGTTCTCTTTGAGCAAAGACTCGAGGGTACCGAGCAGATGCTTGAATACGTGTTCATCTGGCTTGACCAGGGATGTCTACGTAAACGCAGTTGTGGGCAAGGTACACACAGTTACGGTTGGTATTGCTGAGCATGACGTCTCTGATTGTGCATCACAGGCAGCAAGCCGCACCTACACTTTGTTCGCACACACACGCACGCAGGTTCACACACACATACCACACACACACACACATAGAGACACACACACACACCCGCAGAGACACGCAGGCGCACACCTTGGTGATTGCGGGCTGGCTGGAAGACTGCCGGCTGACAACATCCATGTCCTGGACCTCGCGGACAATGTCGTCGAGGACGTCGTCAAAGTTGTCCATCTCCTTTGCTGTTGTGCTCATGCTTGCGGTGATGCTTTGCTCTGCGCTGCAGGGGAACCAGTTCAAGGGGAAAGGTTGGAGGGGGGGGGGGTGGAATCGGCTGCTATAAGAACAGGTCTTGCATGAGTCTTGGTTTGCCTGGTTGTTTGCTTCAACAACAGCAGCGATGTGATGATGTAAATGCCTTCACCTCACAAACCAACATGTGCACAACCAACCAACCTTACCCTCTTGCTTGCAAGCTGCTGTGCTGATGTGGCTGGTGGTTGCCGCTTCACTTGTTACACAACACAACACCACGACTTGTGGCGTGTGTTACTTGCTTGCTTCTTGGTTGCTTGGCTTGTCTTGCTGTTCGTAACTGTTGTGGCGTTGTTTGTGTTTGTGTTTGTGGGCGCAACAGCACTGAAGCAGCAGTTCGCTGACTCAGCAGAATTTCACTGCCACACACACACACACGCAACAGCAAAGCAGAGGCAGAGGCAGAGGAAGAGATGGCTGGTTGTAGTGTGCTTGCGATGCGGAGGGCGGTGGTCGGCCATGCTGGCTGGCGGCGTGTGGGCCTGCTGGGCCATGCGCGTGTTGTGACCTCGCGGGGCGTGAAGATGGCAGCGAGCGACACAGAGCCGCCGAAGGAGAACGACGCTGAGGACGAGTCAGCAACAAAGGTGCCGACAAAAGGCGGCTCCACCGTTACTTCCATCTCCAAAGGACTGGGCCGTCTCATCTTCTCTTCCTCCACTGCAAAGGCCGAGGTCAGTCAGTGAGTGAGCAAGTGTGTGTGGGAGTGAGTGAGCGAGTGTGTGTGGGAGCGAGTGAGCGAGTGTGTGTGGGAGTGTGTGAGCGAGTGTGTGAGTATGTGTGGGAGTGAGCGAGCGAGTGTGTGTGGGAGCGAGTGAGTATGTGTGTGCGTGAGTGAGTGAGCGAGTGAGTATGTGTGTGAGTGAGTGAGCGAGTGTGTAAGTGAGTGTGTGTGTGTGTGTGTGAGTAAGTGTGTGTGTGTGTGTGTGTGTGTGTGTGTGTGTGTGTGTGTGTGTGTGTGTGTTTGCACGATGTGTGTGTGTGTGTGTGTGTGAGTGTGTGTTTGCACGATCCCAAACCGAGTAGAGGGCGCTGTTTGCACTGCCCAGTACGCGACAACGTCAATGGCGTGTTCATCCCTCATTCCTTGTTGTAACCTCTCATCCTCTCAGATGGAGGTGGTTGCCAACGGTCTTGGATCGCTCGTGCACATCTTCTTTCCCCAGCACAGCTACATCAAAGGTAAGCTTGTTCGTACTAGTGGTGGGAGAGAGAGTGTGTGTGTGTCTGAGAAAAGCGAGACAGAGAGAGAGCGAGAGTATGTGTGTATTTGTGGTAAGAATCGACACGGCGCCTGCCTCTGCTACACACATCCACATGCATACACACATGCACACTCACACATGCACACTCACACATGCAAATACAAATTACGTCGCTCATCTTGTCCCCCCTCTCCCCTGTGTTGGAACTGTGTCATGGCTGTCCTCCTGGTTTGCAGTCCGCCCAGGCACTCTGATTGCGCACTCTGGCGCCCTCAAGACGCACACATCGTACCTGCAAAACCCGTTCAAGTCTGCCGCCCGCAAGCTTGGTGGCGGCCCCTTTGCGCTCGTCACTGTCGCGGCATCTGGGGTGGAGGGCGACTGTCTCGTCTCGCCAGAGGGCCTTGGCGACGTTGCCATTCTCGGCCTCGTGAGTCAGCATGGGAGAGGACGAGGGAGGTGGGAGGAGCTGACGTGTTTCGGGTGCTGGTGGTGGTGGAGTTTGAGCTACCACACATAGCTGGATGCCCAGCGTATGTTCACGCTACTGCCTTGCTCAGCATCGATGTGACCGTTGGCCAAAATCTCTCTAATATCCTCACACACACACACACACACACAAACACACACACACACACACACAAACACACACACACACACACACACACACACACAAACACACACACACACACACACACACACACACACACACACACACACACACACACAGGACGGGTCCAGGTCGTACTGCATCAGCAACAAGAGCTTTCTTGCGTCAACGTCCAACCTCTCACTCGGGCTGAGCTTCGTCTCGGACATCAACCCAGTGCTTGGACGCATGTACATGAAAGTGTCTGGCACTGGTGACCTCGCCATCACTGCACGCGGCGGTCTCTTCAGACTCGTTCTCGAGCCCGGCGAGAAATATCTCGCATCCGCAAAGTACGCTTGGCGCGTGATTGCCTGCTTGTCTCGGTGTGTGTGTGCGTTTGCTTGTGGTTGTGTGTGGTTGTGTGTGTGTGTGTGTGTGTGTGTTTACTTGTATGTGATTGCTTGCTTTTGTTTGTATGTGTGTGTGTGTGTTTTTTGTTTGGGGGAGGGGGGCATTTGCGCGCACGTTTCGTGAGTCCTGTTGCATTGTCTGCTTTTCGTTTAATGTACTGGTGACCACTGTCGTCGCTGGCATCACGTTCCCCATCACCAGGCATCTTGTTGCGTGGGATTCAAGCATGCATCCAAAGGTATGTTATCGTGCATGCGTGTTGTTTTCTAGTGCCCTCAAGCACACAGGTCTGGTGACCGGTACTTGTTGGGGGTTGCACGTTATCTCACGCAGCGTGTGATCATGCCCTGTGCCTGTTGTGCGTGCGTGTGTGCGTGTGTGTGTGTGTGTTGTGTGTTGTGTGCCGTTAGTTCCAGGACACGACGGAGCCTGGCCAGCAGCGATCTCTCTTCTCACGCATGACTGCACCGCTTCGCTCACTCTTCCAAGGAAAGCGGGTGAGGCCTTGATTGTCTGCGCATGTGTATATGTGAGCGTGCACTTGCACTTGCATGTGTACGTGTACGTGTGTGCATTTTGCATTTTCCTCCTTCACTGTCACAGCAGCCGATTCACCCGTGCACACGTTTACATCCACGTACATTAACACACGTAACTGTGCTGTGCTCGTCAGACAATGTGTGAACTGCACGGACCGGGCGATTTTTATCTGACGTCACGCCTCGACGCATTCAGGCCAACACGGTGCGTGCATGTGAACACACGTGTGGTGTGTGTGTGTGTTGTGTGTGTGCGCGTGTGCGTGTGCGTGTGTGTGTGTGTATGTGTGGTGTGTGTTTTAGCTGGCGTGCGTGTGTCAAACTTCCATGATCCTGCATCTCACATGTGTTCGCTGCCGCGGACGATCTGTCAGGCGATTTGGGCTGCCCTCTGTTTTTGGATCGCGAAGTGACGATGCAGGCAGTGAGCCACGCGTCATCACTGTCACTCAGGTGGGGAAGCAGTGGCACCAGTGTGGACGGAAACAGACGCGAGCGCACACAAAGTCACACAACTACACACACACACACACACACACAACACACACAACACACACACACACACAACACACACACACACAAAAGCACACATAGGGACAGCCTTCTCATCGCTGCCTGTGTTGTCATGTCATGTCACTGCTGCGCAGACGCCAATGCCTGGCGACGTACACAAGTCATCGGAGGTGACAAAGGTCAACTTCACCCCTGACCAGAGCCAGCAGAGGGAGAGCAACGCGGACACAGCTCAGACAGCAGAAAAGGAGGACAAACAGCAGCAGGAGAAGAAGCATGCACAGGAGGAAGAGGTTGAGGGAGAGACAGACAAGCCCAAGAAGCCGTGGTACAAGTTCTGGTGATGCGGCAACGCTGCTGCTGCTGCTGCTGTTACTTCTGTGAATGCAAACTGGTTGATTGTCATGACTTTGTCTTGGCCATCGTCGTGCGTTGAAATGGCAGCGTGTGCGATGGGGTGTGTGCGATGGGGTGTGTAGTGCGTGCGATGTGGGGGTTCTAGTTGACATTTGTTGCGGACCAACACGTGTTGAGGTGATGTGAAATGAATGAACTGGGGACAGTAAACCAACAAACAACATGCAGCCATGAACCTTACATGAACCAACCAAGGCTCAAACAAATCCAGCCACTGCGTTGATGTCGCACGCCACCCCGGTCTGTGTTGTCTGTTGCATTGTTTAATCTGGCAAAACGTGGCTTAGGTCATGAAGAGCTGGCAAGAGAGGTGAGGTGGTGGCTTGAGGGAGGTGGGAGCAAAAGGTTCCAGACTCAGAAGAACAAAAAGAGAGACCCACACACAAACGGATGTCAGGAGCACACAAAGCGTGGGTTGAATTGGCGAAGGACATGAGCTACGGTGTGCCTAGAACAACGCACGGCTTATCCACAAAAATCGACTTGTTGGCAGCAGGTTCATGCATCGGCACACAAATAAACCGACACACACACACACACACATACACACACACACGCACACACACATACACACACACAACGCGCGCGCGCACACACACACACGACACAGGACAGCACAAGTCATTTCACAGTAGATCACATCATAGTCACACACGGCATACGTGCCCGGTCATCGCCTTGCATTGCTCATTGCGGCCTTGATGGGGGCGGCATCAACGTGACCAAAGTTCTGCTGCTGCAAACTGCGCAGTACAATGGCAGCCATGTCTGTGACTGCCGGCGGGTGACCGGCAAAAGCAGCCACCTCAATCGCGTGCGCATCGTCTGCGATTCCCGGTTTGATGCTGTGGTGGAACAGAATGCGTCCGTCGTCGTCCTTCTCAGCCACAAACTGCACACACACACACACACACACACACACACACACAGATGCATCATGAATGGCAATTAGCAATACAGCACAGCATGAACGACGATCAAGGAAGACATAATTACACGTGCAAGCAAGCAAGCAAGCATCCAACCAACCTTGTAGACACCGACGTTGTCGAGGTCTTGGCAGAGGGCGGGCAGTTGCAAATGGTGCGTGACACTCAGCGATCGGCACCCGCTCTTGGCGAGCTCGTGCGAGATAGCGCTGCAACCAAAAAAAAACACAGAGCGTACGTGTGTGTGCGAGAGGTAGGGAGGGAGGGAGAGAGAGAGAGAGAGAGAGAGAGAGAGAGAGAGAGAGATGGTGTGTGTGCGTGTGTGCGCGTGTGTGTGATGAGACACTGATGAATGAAAAATCGCAGGTCATTAAATGGTCGTGGCTTGCTCTTTCACATTGGACATGGTTCACAGGTGCACGTACACAGCCAGCGCGAGGCCTTCGCCCGAATTTGTGCCGCGTCCAACTTCGTCCATCACTACAAACGATCGCGCAGTCGCTGTGTGTGTGTGTGTGTTTGCATGTGTGTTTGCATATGCGTTCGTGAGTGCGTGAAAGTGTGCGTGTGCGTGTGCGTGTGTGAGCGAACGAACGACATGCAAGAAGCACACATGCCACCTGGGCTTGCAGGTCATGTTCACACCGTTGTTGACAATGTTTGATGTTTCCTCCATCTCAACGAGGAACGTGCTTTTCCCTTCTACTTGGTTGTCCTGCGCGCCAACCTGTATGCACGTGCAAACATGTGTACGGAAGCAGACAAAGACGAACGAATTACACCATGTCAATCACAGGCATTTATTTGCCCTGTGGCGCTGACAGATGAAGGAAGCGCATTCGTCATCATCATACCTTTAGAGTACACACACGCACATATTCGCGCACACACACATGCTCATACGCACGCGAGAGAAGAGTTTGTCGACAATTCCAATCGTGCACTCCTCGGCTGGGACAAACGATCCCATCTGCACTCGTGTGAACATGTGTGTATGTGTGTGCGTGTGAGTGTGTGTGTGTCACGAAGCGAGTAACGATGCGACGCATGTGAGTGTGCGTGCAAAATCAAAGGCCTGCACGCATCGTGCATGACATCGATATGGTTCCCATCACGGCTCTCATTCCTGGCTCGCGATTCATGCGTGTGCACTGCACCTGAGCCAGGACGACAAGGAGGGCGTTCTGGCGAAGAAATGTCGACTTTCCGCCCATGTTTGGGCCAGTGATAATCACGCTCTTGTGCTCGTCCATGACGCAATCGTTTGGGCGGAAATGATGCAATGCGTCCCCTGACACAGAGGATGAACACGGTAAGGACACATACTGGTGGAACCAAACGACATAACGGCACCAAGCAAAGCAAACAACAACCAGCCGAGCTGCACCAAACAACAACCACGCAAACAATCAAAATTCACACTCAAACTCAAACCAAACCTGACCAAACAAAGCCAACCCCAACACGCATCATCAACGCGAACGAGCGAGCGAGTGGGCACGGACCTGCTGTGAGCGCGTCGAGAATGGCGTGTCTGCCCTGCACGACGTTGAAGTCGACGCCATCGGTGATGGTTGGGCGGACGTATTCGCGAAGCGTCGCCGTGCGAGCGAGCCCCGCGCACACGTCCAGGTGCGCAAGCACGCGGCTGGCCTTCTCAAACAGGTGGGAGTTGGCGATCAGCACTCCGCACACGCGCCGTGCACACTCCATCTGGTGGACGGGGCGCGAAGGGGGGGGGGAGGAAGATATAGCGAGGGGGAACACGTGAATTTGTGCATGTGTGTGTGTTTGTGCGTGTGTGTCAGTGTATGTGTGCGTGTGCGTGTGTGTGTGTGTTTGTATGTGTGCGTGTGTGTGCGTGTGTGTGTGTGTGTGTGTGTGTGTGTGTGCGTGTGTGTGTGTGTGTGTGCTTGTGAATGCGAGAAATGGGCTTGTGTCCATCCATCAGCGGGTCGATGCAACGAATGAGGATCAACGAACGATGGGAACAACACGTAATGCCCGCGTACGAATGTGTGTGGATGTGTTTGCATCACCTGGGCGTCCGTGAGTTCGCGCCGCGCGTGCCCGAGCTTCAAACTGAGCGACTGCAGACGCGGCGTGTCGTACAGCCCACGCTTGAGCAGCGAAAACCCGCGCACCCTGGGGAATGGCATGGGTGGCGTCCAGGGTAAGCACGTACGTGATGTGTTGTGTGATGTGTGACAGGAAATATGTGCAGGTGGCGAAGGGCATAGCGGTGGCTCACACGATCACGTTTGACATCAACACTGATATGCACTTACGACTTCTTCAGCTCTGCTGCCAACTTCGGTTTGATTTGCATGGCCAGCACGCCTTCCATGGGCTCCGTCAGCCGCGCATCAAGACTGCACACCCGCACCCTCATTGTGAGGTTGTGCACAACAATAACGACGACGACGACCACCACCACCACCGCCATCACCATCATCATCATCATCATCATGCATGGCTATCACCACATCACCACCGCCGCGACGGTCACGTACGAGATGTCGGCTGCGTGCTTCTGAGCCTCGCGCAGGATCGCCGACACAATCTCCCGCTGCTCATCCACAGTCGCGTCAAACCCTGATGTGTGTGTGTGTGTGTGCGTGTGTGTGTGTGTGTGTATGCGTGTGTGTCAGATGTGGTTTGTGGCATTCACGTGAGCGGTGATGTGTAATGCAAGCCAACGTGTAAGACAAGAATGCACGGACAGACAGTGAAAACACACATGCACGCTCGTGCACAGAGATCAGCGTAAGGCCACACCTGGTGCAGGGAAGACGCTTGTTTCCGCATCGTCGTCATCGTCGCTCTCAGCGCTGCTGCTGTTCGCGCTCTCAAACAACTCCCGGGGAACGGCCTGTTCACGTCATACATTGCAGTGCATGTGAGTGGCGCATGTAGGTGTGCGTGTGTATATGAGTGTGCGTGTGTATATGAGTGTGCGTGTGTATATGAGTGTGCGTGTGTATGTAAGAGAGAGTGTGTGTATACGAGAGTGTGTGCGCGTGTGTATGTGAGTTGCGCATGTGTGCGGACGTGTGTTTGTGTGTGAGCGTGAGTCCGTGCGACCTCGTACATGTGTGTGAACGTGTAACGTGCATGTGATTCTTCATGTGCACCACTGGATGACCTTGGTGAAGTGATGCAGGTCCTCAAGAGCCGCCGCCAGCTGCTCTCCACCAACGCTGCTCACGTCAGGCGCGAGGTTTGGGGACGACACAATCTGTACCCAACAGGCGGGCACCAGGCAAGCAACACGCAAGCAACAAAGAACGTGGCATATGCACCAACGGAAGCAAGTAAGCAAACAAACACACATGCACACCAGCACGAGCGCGCGTACACACATGCACACACACAAGCACACACACATGCACACACACATACACACACACATACACACACAAGCACACACCTACACACACGCACGCCCACCTACACACACGCACACACACCTACACACACACACACACACACACACTTACACACATACACACACACGTGTGCTGTACAGCTACGGACCATCTCGACGCGTGTGCAGAACTCTGCGAGCTTGGCCAGGTTGACGGTTGTGTTTGAAAGCGTTGCCCGGGCAGAGAGACTGGAGAGGCAGCGGAGGGGATCAGCACATGCACTCAACAGCCGCTGCAAGGCTGCACCTGCGTCATTGCGACGGGGACATGGTGTTGTCGTGTCGGATGCGAACATGCGTGGTGGGCGGAAGAGAATGGAAGGAGCCATTAGACGACGATGAATGGCAGTCCATCGCACACATACACATGAGGAAACAACACTGTGCAGGATACATGACGCTGCTCCCCTTCCTCTCTTGGTTGTTGGCATGTGTATGTGTATGCCGGTGTGTGAATGTATGTATGTTTGTGTGCATGTATGTGTGTATGTATGTACACATGCTTGCGCGTGTACCGTGCTCGTGGTTGTCGTAGAAGTACTCGACCAAGTCCAGCCGTCGCTCAATCTCGTGCCGGTCCGTGATTGGATTCGCCAGTCGCGATCGCAGTTCACGCCGTCCAAACGCCGACACGGTGTTGTCAACAACATGCAGCAGCGAGCCCTGCAGTGCACACACACACATAACTGAGTACGCACCCTTCCCTGTGATGGCTGATGTGTCGAACTCAGGCAATGCCAGGCCTTGTCGCCACCCAACAGAAAAACCTACGCTCCCGCACGCACACGCACACACGCACACGCACACACGCACACGCACACATGCACACGCACACATACATACACACATAAACAAGCGCACAAAGGCTGCGTCGCACCTTTCCGCGGGGAACGGTGAGGTTGAGGCTTTCTCTCGTGTCAGCATCAATGACAAGCTGCTCCTTGTCGATGGGCGGAAGAGCGGACACATCGTCCTCCACATGCACGTCAAACGACGACGATGGTGATGACGGCTGTGGCGACGCTGCGCTCACGTTCGCGTCTGTGGACTGGGAGTTGGTGCCGCTCTGGTGTGGCAACAGCAGCGTTGGCAGGCCCTTTGGATAGCACCGACGCAGGTAGTTTGTCACCACGTTCCCCGCACTGGAGAAACAAGGAAAGCAATGGATGGAAAGAATGGGTGGGTGGATGGAAGGAGCAATGTGAGCGATGCGAGCCGCTTGCAAAAGCAAGTCACAGCTGGCACCCTCAACACAAGCACACCAGTGGCGATTTCATGTGCACACGACACGCACGCGCGCTGGAGGTCCGAGAGGGGAAGAGGAAGGTCGCCCGTATTCCGTGCGAGCCAGTTCTCAGGCACACCCATCACGAACGTGTCGTTAAAACTGTTGCATTGTTGATGGTGGTTGTGGCGACAGAGGTGGCAGTGATTCTACATACTCGTAGGTGCGGTTGTCGGCATGTGTAAGTGTGTGCCGGTGTGTGAATGTATGTATGTTTGTATGCATGTATGTAAGTTTGTATGCATGTATGTATGTGTGTGTGTGTGTACACATGCTTGCGCGTGTACCATGCTCGTGGTTGTCGTAGAAGTACTCGACCAAGTCCAGTCGTCGCTCAATCTCGTGCCGGTCCGTGATTGGATTCGCCAGTCGCGATCGCAGTTCACGCCGTCCAAACGCCGACACGGTGTTGTCAACAACATGCAGCAGCGAGCCCTGCAGTGCACACACACACATATCTGAGTACGCACCCTTCCCTGTGATGGCTGATGTGTCGAACTCAGGCAATGCCAGGCCTTGTCGCCACCCAACAGAAAAACCTACGCTCCCGCACTCTCACGCACACACGCACACGCACACACGCACACGCACACACGCACACGCACACACGCACACGCACACATACATACACACATAAACAAGCGCACAAAGGCTGCGTCGCACCTTTCCGCGGGGAACGGTGAGGTTGAGGCTTTCTCTCGTGTCAGCATCAATGACAAGCTGCTCCTTGTCGATGGGCGGAAGAGCGGACACATCGTCCTCCACATGCACGTCAAACGACGACGATGGTGATGACGGCTGTGGCGACGCTGCGCTCACGTTCGCGTCTGTGGACTGGGAGTTGGTGCCGCTCTGGTGTGGCAACAGCAGCGTTGGCAGGCCCTTTGGATAGCACCGACGCAGGTAGTTTGTCACCACGTTCCCCGCACTGGAGAAACAAGGAAAGCAATGGATGGAAAGAATGGGTGGGTGGATGGAAGGAGCAATGTGAGCGATGCGAGCCGCTTGCAAAAGCAAGTCACAGCTGGCACCCTCAACACAAGCACACCAGTGGCGATTTCATGTGCACACGACACGCACGCGCGCTGGAGGTCCGAGAGGGGAAGAGGAAGGTCGCCCGTATTCCGTGCGAGCCAGTTCTCAGGCACACCCATCACGAACGTGTCGTTAAAACTGTTGCATTGTTGATGGTGGTTGTGGCGACAGAGGTGGCAGTGAGGGCAGAAATGCAATTTACAGCTTGAGAGGAGATGAAGTCACGCACAACACAGCTTGTGAATGCGGGGATGCACGCATGCAAGCAAGCAAGAACGCATGCACGCTCGAACCATCTGAGGCGATGCAGACTGTTGGTGAGTGGGACGGACGGTGATTGCGCAATACCGCGCTTCGACAGAATGCGGCACACATCATCCCCTGTGAATGGATGCAGAGATGAGGCCATGAAACGAGACTGCAGCTGCACGAGTGCGCGTCTCTTGCTCTCCATGCACAGAGCACAGCATACACAACCAGACAAAGCACAGCACACGTACACACGTGCATACGCACACATGCATACACACAAGGCACAACACAGACTGAGCACAACAAAGACGCGCGCCCCAAGCGCTTGGCACGCACGGAGGTCTGGGTTGATGAGGAGCAGCTCAACAGTGTCGAGACCGGGCAACGTGGTGAGGAGGTCTGCCGGTGCCATCTCATCAAAGTGCAGCTGGCCCGTGATGTTGTTGAACACGCACAGCCCAAACTTGGCGCTGCGGTTGAGCATTGCCGCAAGCAAAGGTGGATGTGAGGCGGGGAAAGCGGTGGACATCGAGCAGAGAGATATCTACCCGCAGAAGAAGGAAAGGAAAGCAGCCAATACTCGCACATGCACACACAACACGCGCGGGCACACACACACACACACACACACACACACACACACACACACACACACACACACACACACACACACACACGCACGCACACACACACACGTACGGAGCAAACAGGTTGTCTGCGACAATGGCTGTGAGGTGACGGGGCGAGTCATCCTCAACGTCAATTTCGGGCAGCAGCGTCCCGGGCGTGTAGATGCGCGCAATCTGACGTCTGCCCAACAGAGATAATGCAGCACAGACGACACAACAGTGATGAGGAGCACGCGAGCGATGTGACAACACATATGACGGGCCCTCGGCTCAAGCAGGATGCACGCATGCATCGCCTCGTACTTGAGCGTCGCCGACACTCCAGGATCGCACTGCACGCGTCGTGCAAGGGAATCGGGCAATGATGGGGGAGGGGGTGGATAATCGCCGAGGATGAAGAAAGGGGGGGGGATGGTGAGTAAAGGGAACGGGAAGGGTGTGCACCTCTTCCATGTGCATATGAATGTGCTTATGCATGTCTGTGATTGCAGTTCATTCTTACACAAGGCAAGCAAGGAAGGGCTTGGAAAGCAGCGTGGCCAGTGGAAAGCAGCGTGGCCAGTGGAAAGCAGCGTGGCCAGTGGAAAGCAGAGCAGGCACACAAGCACACGTGCACACACACGCGTGCACGCACGCACACACACACACACACCTGATCTGCCACGGCGACGGCAGAGAAGAGGGCTTGAAGCTGTGGGATCCACGCGTCCTTTCGGTGTATGGGAAACCCAGCCATGCCCTTCTTTGAGAGGGCAAGTGGCAGCTTGGAGTTCACCAGGATGGCGTCTTCCAAATACAGCTCGTAGAAGTTGCCCACCTGGCCATGAAGGGGCAAGGAAGTGGGGGAAACGGAGAGCGAAATCGCGTGAGCAGCGAAGGCAGCGCAGGCAGTGGGGGCAGTGGAGGCAGTGCGCACACGAACGCAGCCCTCTGCACGCACATACACACACACACATGCACGCACACAGCACGCACCTCCATGAGCAGGATGTGATCCGGGACTTTGCGTTTGAGGTCTGAATATTGTGTTGACGCCCATGAAGAGGACCATCTGAGTGTCGCGGTGTGGCTGTTGTGATGACAGCATGCTGTGGTCGCAGCGGCCAGCTGTCCTCGACTGCAGTGCAGCGTGTGCCACAGCCTCGCTCCTGCGCACCGCGCACTCTGCTGCATCTCTTTGTTGTGGTGCGCGACGGCGGCAGTTGCACGGAAAGTGCTGAGTCAGCTGTTTTCTGCACTGGCAGGAAGGACTCAACAACGGCGCTGTTGTTCGTGAAGGCGCGTGTGTTGTGCTTGTGTTGTTGTGACGAGTTGTTTGTCTTGTCTTGGTGTTGCGGCTGTCCACAGTACTCATTACTCCTTTGCTCCATCAGGCCATCGTCCCCTGAGCCACCCCCTCCCAGCTGCAAGCTCTCGCCATCTTTGCTTCTTCCGCCACCACACCAGAAGACCACAAGACAACCCGCCACGCAATGAGGGCTGTTCAGAAATTCCTTGCCATCCTTGCTGTTGCCCTCGTGGCGATTGGCGCTGCTTCTGTGGTCGCGTGGCCAGATGAGCCGTGTCGGATTCCACCGGGCGCACGCAACTTTACACTTGACAAATATGCCGGCCTGTGGTTCGTCATCAACTGTGCGTGCGTGCGAGTGTATGTGTGCGTGCGTGCGAGTGTATGTGTGTGTGTATATGTGTGTGTATGTGTGTGTATGTGTGTGTGTTCGAATCGGCAACATGTTTTGCTCAAGGCCAGCACAAAGTGTATAGTGCAGAAAGAGCTGTTTTTGCGTGTGCTGTAGACTCACAGCCTGCCGTGTCCTCACCCACACCCTCAACCATGTTTATCTTGTGCCTTGCGTTCAGGTATGAGATTGGCAAGATTCAGACGGCTGGTGGGGCGTTCTTGAGAAGAACTGCGTGTGCACCCAGCTTGAGATTGGCCCAACCTCAA